TGTATCCTCTGTGCTTAAGCACATTATGTTTGTTGAATTATTCATTATTCATACAGGTTTTTTGCTAAAACACGTCTAACTGAAAAAAGCCGACTTCATTCTGTGAAATAATAAGTGATTTTATTGAAGAGTTTGATATGAAGGATGTTTGAGGCACTTTTTTGAGACAAACTGAAAGTTTCCTTCATTCATTAATGGCAAAGCTTTGAGTTTCATCGAGTCTGCAGAGAAAAGATTGACAATAAAAATAAGTTTCAACTTCCTCTGAAAAAACTGCAGCTGAACTCAAACCTTCTTTTCATTAGACCAGTGAAAGATCTACTACCACGTTGTTAGCATGCTAACGTTAGCACTGAGCACAGTTGTGAAACTGAAAACTAGATGTTGACCAGGAGAAAAGTCTGAGGATCAACAGGTTCATCAGCTGCTGACGTAGATCAGTGGGCCGCTCAGAGTCCCGCCCCCTCAGAGTCCCGCCCCCTCAGAGTCCCGCCCCCTCAGAGTTTTGCCTTGGCCTGGAAGAAGCTCATGATGGCGTTGGCGCACTCCTCTGACGTCCAGCGCTCTCTCAGACACTCCACCTCAGCATCGTTCACAGCATAGAGACGCTCCTTCTCCATCGAGCGAATCAGCTGCTTCGAAAACGCCAAAGACTGGGGGAGGGGTAAGTTAATACATCTCATACTTCATATATTTTAAGATCAAAATTATCGACGAATGATTTAAATCATAAACTAGCATCAGTGTGTGTGTGTGTGTGTGTGTGTGTGTGTGTGTGTGTGTGTGTGTGTGTGTGTGTGTACCTGGGGTGGCAGCTTGGCGTAGTTCTTCAGTCTGGTCCACACCTCCTTGTGGAAGCTGCTGTCGGGAAAAACCTCCGTGACGAGGCCAAGTTCACAAGCCTGAGACGACGTCAACTTCTTATTGAACAACAACATCTCACTGGCCTGAGAGGGACAGAGAGAGACAGAGAGAGACAGACAGAGAGACAGACAGAGAGACAGACAGTTGAAGAGTGAAGCTGAACTGTGATCAGTTCAAAACACTGAGACGTTATTAAGAACCAGAGTTTATCTCCAATATTCAGCAGGAAACTTTCAAACATGTTTGGTGGATTTGTTACAGCAGCAGCTCTTCTGGTTCAGGAAGCAGAGGATCACAGGTAATATTCAGCGTTCACATCTCAGGTGGGTGAACACCAGGTGTGTGTGTGTGTGTGTGTGTGTGTGTACCTTGGCAGCGCCCATAATTTTGGGAAAGGTGTAGGAGGAGCAGCCTTCAGCGCTCTGTCCCAGCTGACTGAACGGAGTGTGGAAGGTCGCCTGAGACGGAGAAAGACGCAGACTCTGAGTATCACACATCTGCTGTGTGTGTGTGTGTGTGTGTGTGTGTGTGTGTGTGTGTGTGTGTGTGTGTGTGTGTGTACGTACCCTCTCTGTAGCATAGACCAGGTCGAACAGTCCCAACACAGTGACTGAAATTCCGACAGCCGGTCCGTTCACCACAGCAACCAGCGGCTTTGGGAAGTCGATGTAGGCCCTCACGTATTTCCTGTCGAGAAGAAAGAAAAGACGGAATCACAGGTGTGTCCCATGTGTGAGTGGATCTCTGATCATCTGTCAATCAATGAGAGATCACCTGAGCAGCTCCGCCCCCTGTCGAGCCATCTCCTCCACACCTCCCCCCCGCAGCTGGAAGTTGTTCAGGTCGTTTCCGCTGCAGTAAAAGTCTCCAGCTCCTGAAGTGAAGAGAGAACCAGGTACATGGGACCAGAGGAGGAGCTACAACAGGTTCAGTGTGAAGGATTCAGTGACACAAGTACGACACCTAGTGGCGAGGTTACATATTACATGTGTGTGTGTACCAGTTACAACTGTCAGGACTGAATCGTCTTTGGCCGCCTGCTCCAGAGACGCAATGATCTCGTTGTACATCTGAAAGACACGAGACATTTCATCATTAACATGAATCACAACCACGACTCATCTATGTTAGCTCAAGTGTATGATGCAATGATGTCACTGATCATGTGACATGATGGTTAATGTTCAACTATAGACCATTCCAGACACACACAGACACAAACTCACACAAACTCTCACACTCACAGAAACACACACTCACATAAAGAAACACACACACCTCAGTCGTGATGGCATTTTTTTTTGTGGGTCGGTTCAGTCTGATGAATGTGATGTTGTCCTCCGTGGTGACCAACAGCGTGTTGTACGTTGGCCCGCTCCCAGCAGCCTTTGCGGCCTCCTGCGCAGCACTTGGATTTTCTGCCTCCACCAGGGAACCAATCAGGTCGCAGTATTGCTGCCTGGCTTCATCCTGAACAACGAATATTTACACTACTGTTATTTTACTGTTACTCAACGTGAAACTAACCAACCACGACAGAGTAAGTTAGCTGACCAATCGGATCAGACTTTATCATGGGGGGGTCTTAGAGAGACGGAAGATGGACAGTCTGAGGAAAGTGATTGTGAATATTAGAGCATGACAACATTTTACAGTCAGAACACTGATGGTCTGTGGAGCCGCTGTACCTGTGATATGGAGCCCAGAGACTTCCATGCGTCCCATTTAGCCTTGTTGACAAAGTCCAACATTCCTGGACTGGACGTGTTGCAGGAACCCTGAGTGGCCTGCAGAGGACGCTGAGTGTCAGTAACTGGATCCAGAAAACATGGCCATACAGATGTTTTCTCCTCCCTGCCTTTACTACCTGTGTCTTTAGAACTGATATTTGAATATTGTCCATCATTCCGAGGCTGCTGGAGATCATGGGTTAAACTCTGTTCTAAAGGGGAGCGTGTGTTTGTTTTTAATTCTCATTCAGCTGCTTTTACTTTTCAATTTTGCTCAGTTTATTTTTTTATTTTACTTTTATATTTTTTAATTGTGTAAGTGCTGTATAAATTCAAGTTTTAATTGTTTTGTAATACTGTTGCAGGATGTGGGGGTCACATGACAGCTGAGTGGATGCTGATTGGTCGCTGACGCTGTACATCCCTCTGTCTTCGCTCTCTGTTGCTGAGTGAGTCCATTTCATTTCATTCACATGGATCACTGTAGTTAATGATGATGAAAATGTATTTTTGATTCAGTTGTAGAAATGAAAGATGGAGAAAAGATGTTTCTTCTTCTGTGATGACACCAGTTAAGTCCAGTTCATCCAAACAGCCACATAGAATTTAATTTAATAAACAAATGTATTTTTTCATCAGCCACATTTACTGATAATTACATAATGAATAATGAAGAAGGATCTCAAGCTTGCTCACAAATAATTCCTCTGTTTATTTTGTTGTTGTTATAAACCTGTAAAAATCGAAAGGAACATTTTTGTTTATAGAAAAAAATGTCAAGACTGAAAAACATCTTTACAGATATGACGCAGAAAACGTGTTGTTAGCATGTGACACGTGGAGTGATCATGACCACAAACTCACCTGTTTGAACAAACCGTAGATTTTCAGTTTGACTTTGTTTCCTGGATCTTTCTGCAAAGACGATAGTTTGTTCTTCGCCTGCTCAAACTGCTCCACACTCGCACCTGCATCACACACACACACCATACACACATGTGCACACACACAGACCACACAGACACACACATATCATGTGACGCACACACAGAGACACTATAATTACTAGTGGATTTGTATCATTGATCTGTGATGTTGTTGAAACTTTTGAAGTGGCGTCCTCGACATAAAATAAAATTGTATGAATCAGAAAGTAAGATACTGACCCATCGTACGAGACGCTGTGGTGTGAAGCTTCAGACTCGGAGCGATTGACAATCTGACCAAACTGAAACACATTTACAAAAACACAAATCAGTTTTATTTCTACACATTAAAACAACAACCAGAAATGAAACAGATAAACAACTCATCTAATAAATACAAGATGTGAGTACATACAGAAAAATACACAAGAAATAGAGAAGAACACATTCACAGATATAATAAATATATAATAAATCCACTGATCACATGTACATTTCATGAGCCGACGCCAAAATACAAAGTGCTACATGTGAGTGCAACTGAACTGAAGGTTCAGTTTTGTGATCAGTGTTTATTTGATTTAATCTTTTATTATGAACTTTTATTTTTGAAGGTGTTCACAATCTATATATATATATATATTAATCATCTGATGTCTCGTGTGTGTGTGAACTGATTATAGTTCTTCATATTCCATGTCACAGACTGATGATGACGTCAGGCAGCTGGTTAATCTGATTATTGGTTATTGATTCCTCGGAGTCTGGTTTCATTTAGGTTTTATTTTATTTAGATTTAATGAGAATCACTTGTTAGTCAACGATTCATCCGGTTATTCTCTTGACCTGGTTACTATCAGAATTCTGTTTCCATGGAAACACTGAATGTGAAGTGGAGCAAAGGTCACATTTGAACTTTAACCCTTTTTTTCTGACTGTTTTTATTCTATAAATTAGAAACATACAGATTTACTTATAAAACGTTGAAACCCAGACTGCCTCATCTCCCTTTGGGGATGAATAAAGTGATCTATCTATCGAAGTCGCTGCTCTCTGACACAAGCTAACAAGCTAACATGCTAACCTCCACACTCAGCGGTCACAGTCACTCACCTTCTGCCGCAGACAAAGCGCCAGGCAGCGGAGCAGTGCATGAACCCACCGGCCATTTATACCCGGAGCTGGAGGTCCTAAGAGCGGCGAGTCCAAAGGGCAGGAGCCGGTCCAGAGAGCAGGAGGACGGGCTGGGGGACACTTAGCTTAGCTGTACTTAGCTTAGCTGTACGTAGCTCAGCTTTAGCCGCGGCGCTGCTAACAGGCTGTTTAGTGTTTACACCGCTGCTCCCGCCCACTCTGTCGTCTTCTGCTCTGCCATTGGCTCGGCTGGACCGTGTCGTCATCTCGTTCATCCAATGAACGAAGGCCTTTCCTAACCACTATTCCTTGACCCCGATGGAAAAACGTCACAAGGTCAAGCAGTGAGGAGTTAGGAAAGGAGACCACTGTGTGGAGGAATCAGTTTGATTAACTTTAACTTTATTGACAACAGAAGACAAGCACAAAGACCAGCGCTCTGCAAAGTGTGGGGGAGCTAGCCCCGCCCCCTGCTGTACTTAATGTTTCATTCAGACTTAAATACTCGCTCGTTGAACACATTTCAAACATCTCTGCTTTTTTAACACCTCAGGATTGTTGATGCAGAGCGGAGTGGACGGGCTGGGGTGTAAGGTTGGACCATGTCCTGGATGTAGCCTGGACCCGATCCGTTCACAGTACAAGTACTAGTGACTTGAAGCTGATGCAGGTAACCAGTGAAGGGAGCGGAGGACTGTGAGTGAACTTAGGTTAAAGATCAAGTTTGATTTTCAGCTGGTGTGAAGACGTCCACTGAGAGATGTCAGACAGTCAGGGAGACATTCATGCTGCTACCTGAGGATTAGTTGTGTAAGAAAAGTGAGCGAGACAGAGTTGAGAGTTTGTGTACAGAGAGGAGAGGACCCGGGACAGAACCTTGAGGGACCCCAGCAGTGAGAGGACAAGGTGCTGACACAGATCCTCTCCAAGCTAAGTGTGGTCGTTGAGGAGGATGAGAGCAGGGAGAGAGCCGAGCCGGAGACACCAGCGTCCTGAAGGGACGACAGAAGGATCTGGTTTGACTCTAGTTTAAAACATGTTCTTGAACTCTTCTGGTCGAATATCAACAAATAAGTTTCCTGTTTATATTTGGAGCAGCAGAGTTCAACTGTGACTCTATAGAAACAGACTGTCAGTGAGTGATATCACTGACCCTGCAAAGCTATTGAGACACACACACACACTCACAGACACACACTCATACACGCAGACACAAACACACCGACACACATGCATATACACTCACACACACACTTATACACACACATTGACTAAACACACACACACAAAGCAGAATCAGCAGACACATGAGGATGAAGAGAAAACGTTGACGCAGCACAAACCTTTAAATCTCGTCTTTTGTCCTCAGGGCCTGGACCTGGCCCCTCGCTCACCCCTCGCTCGCCCCTCGCTCACCCCCTGCTGTATATATTGGGCCGTCCAACTTTCTCTCTGTGACACTGTGTGTGTGTGCTTGTGTCTCAGGTCGGACGACATCCAGTGGACAAACATGTCGCAGTATTCTGGAAAGGTGAGCGACTCCAGGTTCACTGATGAATCTGAACAGGGAACTGAAATACTTTAAAAAGTTTGGATTTTAAGTGAAATACTTTGACTTGTATTATATTGAACAGTATTTTACGGATCTGGTTCATTGGAAATCAATAAGGAATCACAAAGCTGAATTTTGAATGAAGTTTGGCTAATTCTCCGTCTCACCCTCGTTTTTAAAAGAAAAGAGATAAATGGATGATGATTTTAAAATGTGTTGATGAATCTGCAGTTCGTTAATTTATCTCTAATGTTTTTTTAAACATGAAGCTGTATTGTAATCAGGAAAAAAGACGAAACATACTTTTATAAATTATGAATTAAATGTTGAAGTTTAACTCAAGTTTAAGTTTAACACAACTTTTTTTTTCCTCGTCTGCTCTGAAATCATCTATTGAACCTGTTACCTAGCAACCGCTCAAAGTCTGGTCTAACATCTTGTGGCCATGATGTCAGTTTGTGACATCATCACTGAGGGTGTGGTCATAAATACAACAGAAAAGTCAGGTGACTGATGTCTGTTTGTTTTTCAGATCACCTTCTATGAGGGGAAGTGTTTCACCGGCAGGAAGCTGGAGGTCAGAGGTGACTGTGATAACTTCCAGGACCGCGGCTTCATGAACAGGTGACGTTAAAAAGAAGATTTCAGTTTGATGTTGTCATGGCAACACTTGACGTCTGAACGAGATGAATGAAAAACTAAAAAAGCTGATGTGACAAAGTGAATTCATTCAGAAATTGTTCGTGATGGGGTTAGGGTTTGATACAACATAAATTCTCATCTTTAGAACATATGGAGGGGGCGGAGTTACCTGAGAAACAATTAGCATCCAAACTGTTTCCTGCAGTTCACATGTAGAATGACATGTTTCCTCTAAACGTGTCGATGGACTTCGACACGTTTCCTGTCATTTGGTGGGTGTGTCAGAGGTGTACATAAACCCCGCCCCATTAAAAAGACAGTGACACAGTGGATTCTTTCATGAAACGCAGAGCTAATTAATCTGAACTTGTTTTATGGACAAACACAGAATGAAAAGTGTATTTGTCTCTTTGTTTTAACGAATGACCTTCTCAGCTGCCGTAGTTACAACACTGACGTATCACAACATTTACGTTTGACTATAAACGCAGCCCTGCTGATAGAATCACAAGTTTCAACTTGGGGAAGAATTTTAATGTAAAAATCCAGCAGGAAGTGTAGATTAGCTTAGCATGGTATGGAGAAGAAGCATCACGTGACTCTTGTGTTTTCAGGGTGAACTCCATCCGAGTGGAGAGCGGCGCCTGGATCTGCTTCGACCACCCCGACTTTAAGGGCCAGCAGTATATCCTGGAGCATGGAGAATACCCAGAATTCCAGAGGTGGAACTCCCACAACGATCATATGGGATCCTGCAAGCCCATCGGCATGGTACACGCCTCCGACAGGGTTTTTACAGTCTTTATGTCATGTCAACATCTATGAGGAGACATTCGGGGTTCAGCATCTTGCTCAAGGACACTTCAGCACCGTTCAACCCCTCAGCCACAGCCTTTAATATTTAATCCATCAGGTCCCAGATTTAGGACCCTAACCCTTGACTCAGTCCGATTCCCCTGAAATATTCCTGCTCCTCAGAGGGTGAACCCTGAACCCTGTAGTTTACTTTTATCAGATTTGATTTGTTACAAAATCATTTCTCTTCAGTCACCTGATGATATCATTTTTTAAAATAGTGGATGGAAACACACCTATTTGAATTTTAAAATACAAAAATAGAAACATTCAAACATTTTTTCAAAACAGGCTAAAAATAAAATACTACACGCTTCAAATGATTTTGTGTCAGAAACGTTTCTGGAGTGAAAGTTTTCTGATCAAATTAAATGCATTGTATCAGAGAGAATTCACGCTGTGTCTCACTTCCTGTTCCTCCATCAGCACGGCGAGCATTATCGCATCGAGCTGTTCGAGGGCTGTAACTTCTCCGGTCAGTGCGTAGAGATCTGCGACGACTGTCCCTTCCTGCAGAGCCGCGGCCTCTCCAAGAACTGCATCAACTCCGTCAAGGTCTACGGAGACGGAGCGTGAGTTTAACATGTGTTGGTTTTCACGTGTGCGTGAACAACGCTGGACTCTGTTACAAAAAGCAGAGTAATCCATTACTTTTAACATATTGATGTTTTCTCTATCTGCAGCTGGGTGATGTACGAGGAGCCAAACTTCCGTGGTCGTATGTACATTGTGGAGCGCGGCGATTACAACAGCCACAACGAGTGGCAGGCTCAGAACCCCAACATCCAGTCCATCCGCAGAGTCGTCAACTACTTCTAAACCCCGCCCCCTGAAATCAGCTCTACCACTGATGTCATCATGTACAAAAATAAACCAGACTAAACGAAGAAGAGAGATTTTTTATCAGACACTTTGTGTTTCACTGTGGTTTCATGTCCCACTGAAGGTTTACACTCACAGGACTGATCTGTGGGAGGGATACTGGATATGTACTGGATATGTACTGGGTATTAACTGGGTATAAACTGGGTATTAACTGGTATAAACTGGATATAAACTGGGTATTAACTGGATATGTACTGGGTATTAACTGGGTATAAACTGGGTATTAACTGGTATAAACTGGATATGTACTGG